CCATCTGATGGGTGCACGGAGGCCAGCCATGGCAGGGCTGTTGAAAGGTACATCCTACTAGTTCAGATGATACTTTGGAACCCAATGTGACCTTGTGTGACCTTGTATATGAAAGTACTTTATAAACTGGAAAAAAACTCCATGCCAATAATAGGTATTATAATTCGGATTTATCCACAAACACATGTTGTTTTCACTGAACAAATATTGGTATAATCAATGAATGAAATATTCTTTCCCTCAAGATGCAGATAAAAAGTTCAAGTAACGTTCAATGAATTGAGCAATGCTAGCAAGCATTGGTATAATTCTGGCTAAAATAGATATTAAGGAAAGGGTTTTATCTAGTTTTGTGTCTCAGCTCTCCATTTCATTGGGCCCAGTCTAGACATACTGCTTCTTAATTTAAATTTGCCAGGTAAATAAATTGATGATAGTAGCTATGGTGTTATCTGAAGTAGGCAGAATGTGTGTGTGTGTGTGTGTGTGTGTGTGTGTGTGTGTGTGTATGAACAAGAAAGTGGGGGAGAATAACAATAATGCTTCCGGATGATGGCCACTGCATCACCATGCTAATGAAATGCATTAAGTACAGAAAAGAGAACAAAGAAGCCATTCAAATATTCCCATCACTCATCATTACAGAAACCCATGAATACATCAAAGCAGGTGTGTGGAGATCAAAGGTAACTTAAGAGCAGCAAAGAAACAAAATGTTATTTCAAAAACACAAACAAAAAGCAGCTGCATTTCATAATGATAAAGGGTTTTGATGTTAATTAAAATTTTTAAACAATGTGTTTCCTTTTTACTTGTACTAAGGACTTTAAGACTCTTAGATTTAATAAGTAAAAAGTGAAAGCAAAGTTTATCAATGATTATGTAAATTTGTGTTATAATCCAAAAGCCCATCTCTTTCATCCAAGAAAACCAATTAAAATTAAGAAGGAAAGAAGACGAAATTAGTTGCTCATGGGGCGGGGAGGGGGAGGGCAAAGAAAAAAGAGGGAAAAAAAGGAAGGAAGAAAAGAAAAATTGTCCTTTTGGCAAATTTCAGAAAATGTAAGGTTTAAACACTTTGCCTTGATGTTCTGTGAACTATATCAAGTGTTTTAAAGTTTAAGCAATGTAATAATCTCTTTTAAAGGAGGGCAAACAAATTCTTGCATATTCCTAGAATAAAATAATTTTTATTATAACTTTCCTTTAATATTCACAAGCACATATAATTTCTATATTCTTTTTTTAACTACAAAATCAAAAATTTCAGACTAAATATGAACAAAAATCTAATACTAATAAAATTCACATAATGGATTTGTTTTAACAAAACAAAAAGAATAATGTCAGATTGAATAGCAGAAAGATGCATTTGGAGTTTTCTGCTTTGTTGTGTATTGCTTTTATTTTTAACAATCTGTAATATTATTTGAGTCATTGAGCATTGTTTTTATTGTTCCTTTTAAGCAATGACATTAAAGTTAACCAATTCATTGTTTTATTAGTCTGATCTGCTTAATAGCACCCTCCAAATTGCAATAGTAACAAAATATTATAACAATAAGAAGGCATAATTAAAATTTTTTTCATTTTGCGTATTTATTATCTCACTGAATGAACTGTTTCTAGTCCATCTATACAAGATTTCATCCCTCCTTCTGAATGATGTGAAACTTTATGCATATCATGTGCCATATCATCACATGGCCTCCACTAGGCTCCCGTGCAATTGTAAATGCACATGCAAATGTGGGTACTTGGTTATAATAAGGTGGTTATCCAAATGATCTAGAATATGCTCACATTAAATGTTTTAAATTATCGTTGAAATGAAAACAAAAAATTTAGAAATTCTTATAGAGTACTCGAGGCAACGTTGCCTTCTGTATTAGAGTTAGTAATTTTAATCAATGACTCTTTCTAGAGTGTCTGATTGGTATCGCTTGCCATGGAATGTGCAGGGATCCAACTAGAAGTAAAAAGTTGAGCAGATGAACATTGCCTTCTACTCCTAAGTGCTTGAGAAGCCAACTTATTCTGCTATATTAATGTCAAAAGAATACTAAGATGGCTGTAGTCATGCCAACCTTGCCCTTTCCAAGTTTTGTGGGCTGGTTAATGAACCTTATTTAAAACCCAATTTAATTACATTAATTTTTCAGTGAGCCAGAGTGCCCCCTTGTGGGAATGTTCAGTAGTTATCCAGATACTGCAAGACCATCTGATTTTGTGAGTACACATTTCCCAGGGGTGCTAAATTGAACACGCTCCCTACTGCGCTTTATTCCACTCATCTTCGTGGTTTCACAGCCATAGATACATGGGAAGGGGTGGAAATATGGTAGGCAGCAGCCAGTGGTATAAGAGTATATTTTCCAAAACAATATTGATTTTCTTTCTTTTTCTTTTTAAATGTGGTGGTGGTGGGAGGTGGGAAAAGAGTAGTAATTTTCCAGAATTAGTCAGAAAGCCAACCCTAAATTCAAGAAATTACTCGATGTCTTTATCTCTATCACAAAGGAAATATTTATTTGGGTTATCAAATGACTCATTGAGGACTGAAATACAGCCCTTTTTGGAAGGAGTAAGCACTCAGGGACTTACTCTCACTTGAGTACCAATTGTTTGGATTTCCTCATAGCAGAGTTGAGAGTTAGCCTAAGTAGGTTGCAGAATTTTAATCTGAAATGTAGCTGTTATAAAACAGAATGAGGATTAAAAATAGTTTAAATGCTTTACTTACTACTTCAAGGCATAGATCTTTAAAATTTTTTATTTGGAAGACTTTCAAACATATACAAAATCATATAAGAGGAGTATAAATAATCTCCATTTACCTATTAGACAATTACCAATTCATTACTAATCTATTTCTACTGTACTGCTTTCTCCCTCTCCAGTTTCTAAGAAGTAAATTCCAGATATCACATCCTTTCATCCATAAATACTTCAGAAAGTATCTCTAAGAGATAAAGCTCCCTTTAAAAATACAATCACACACCTGTCTGGCATGGCTCAGTGGTTGAGTGTCGACCTATGATCCAGTAATCACAGTTCGATTCCCGGTCAAGGCACATGCCCAGGTTGTGGGCTTGATCCCCAGTGTGGGGTGTGCAGGAGGCAACCAATCAATGATTCCCATCATTGATGTTTCTCTTTCTCTATCTCCCTCCCTCTCTGAAATCCATAAAAATATATATTTTAAAAATGCAATCACACATTATCACATACAAAAATGAAAAATAATCTCTTAATATCATAAAAGATTGAGGTAGTGTTCAAATTTCCCTCATTGCCTCTCTCTCTCTTTTTAAAAGCCTTTTTTTTTTAAAAAAGAGCAGTTTTAGATTTACAATAAAATTGAGCTGAAGGTACAGGCATTTCCTATATACCCGCTATTCTCAAACATGCATAGCCCCTCCCATTATCAACATCACTCTCCAGAATAGTACTTAAAAAAAAAAAAGATGAACCTATACCAACATGTTATAATCACCAAAATTCTTAGTTTACCTAAGGGTTTACTCTGTGTTGCACATTCAATGGCTTTAGACAAATGTATGACACCATATAGCCATCATTACAATATCATACAGAATATTTTCACTGCTCTAAATATCCTCTGTGCTCTGCCTATTAATCTCCTCACCACCAGCAGCCCTGGCGACCACTGACCATTTTATTGTCTCGAAAGTTTTGCCTTTTCCAGAATGTCATACAGTTAAATTCATGTAGTATATAACCTTATCAGATTGGTTTCTTTCACTTAGTAATATGCATTAAAAATACCTCCATGTCTTTTCACGGCTTGATAGCTCATTTCTTTTTGGCATTGAATAATATTTCATTGTCTGGATGTACTATAGTTTACTTATTCACTCATCTATTGAAGGACGTACTGTTTGTTTCCAAGTTTGGGAAATTACAAGTAAAGTTGCTATAAACATTTGTGTGCAGTTTTTGTGTGTGTGTGAACATAAGTTTTCAGTTCCTTTGGGTAAATACCAAAGAATGAAATTGCTGGATTGTACGGTAAGAGAATGTTTAATTTAATTTTTTAAAAATAATTTTATTGATTTTTTACAGAGAGGAAGGGAGAGGGATAGAGAGTTAGAAACATCGATGAGAGAGAAGCATCGATCAGCTGCCTCCTGCACACGCCCTACTGGGGATGTGCCTGCAACCAAGGTACATGCCCTTGACCAGAATCGAACCTGGGACCCTTCAGTCCACAGGCTGACGCTCTATCTACTGAGCCAAACCGGTTAGGCTAAATAAAATATATTCTAAGAAGTTTAGCTTCTATCCCTGTCTCCTCTATCCTATTTCTCCTCTATCCTAAAAAAAAAAAAAAAAAAAAGGTAATATTTTTTAAATCGTTTTCTTTCCATTATTTTAAAAATTTAATCAAACATTTTATATATTTAGTATTACTATTATCTCTCCCCTTAAATGTTTTCACTTTACAATCTATTTTAGAGATTAATCCAGTTGTATATAGAACACTTCATTGTGTCGTTGTACCATAATTTCTTCAACCAGTTCTCTATTGAGGAGTTTTGGGGTAATTTCCAGTATTTATTATAAATGGTGCTGCAGTGAATAGTCGTACATATTCCTTTCATATTTTTACCACCGTATTTTGGGGGCAAAGTCCTAAAAGTGGAATTGTTGAGTCGAATCCACAGACTCGAAGTCACAAGAGGAGGAATTCCAAGGTGGGGGAGGCAAGTCAAGAATTTTACACTGGACATCACATTCAGTGAATCGCATACTCGCATCCTTCCGACTCCCAGCTCTCCAGGTCTTCCCGGTCAGAGCCTCTACCCCCGACCTCACACTTCCTACGTCTCCTCGCGCCCCTCATCCCGTAACTACAGCGCCCCGCCCATCCTCCCGCTGGTCCTCAGGACCCACCCGAAGAGCGGTGGGCGCAGGCTCTGCGCATGCCCGGCCCGTGCGCGGCGATTGGAGCGTCCGCAGACCAGAGCGGCGTCATCACGGCGCGCCGCTCCCAGGCGTCCTTGCAAGGTCGCTCTGCCCAGCGGGAGCGCGCGTCAGTGACCGGTCCCAGGTCCGGGGGCGCGCCGTTTCCTCCCGGGGTACCAGCGGCGACATGACGGGGTACACGGCCGATGAGAAACTGCGGCTGCAGCAGCTGCGAGAACTGAGGCGGCGATGGCTGAAGGACCAGGAGCTGAGCCCCCGGGAGCCGGTGCTGCCCCCGCAGAGGATGTGGCCTATGGAGAGATTCTGGAACAAGTTTCTGCAGGACCCGGCCCCCTGGAAGAACCTGGTGAGTGACCGGCCTCCCTCGCCCGCCACACCACCACCTTCCACGACCCCCAGACTGTCTGCTGGGATGCCTGCTCCCGTGGCCAAACCCAGGACACGGACATGGCTCTGCGCCCGCAAGCCCGATGGTTCCTCCCGAAAGAGGGAGCATTAGGTTCTACCGAGACGTAGGCGTAGCCGGATCGCAGCCCTGTCCCAAGAGTCCTGGCCTGGGCGCCAGGAGTCCAAGGGCATGTGCGACTTTGGGAGAGTCATGCCCCTTTGCTGTCTAGTGTGATGAGGAGGCAAATCTTTGCTTGGGTTTTGCAGCACGTTTGGGTCTCTTTTGATTGTACAGATCTTCCCCCAGACGGAGAGCCAAGGGTCCACCAGTTAGAATTCCACGATTTTAGTATTTGAGAACACTTGTGTAAGGTTGAGGCTCTAGAGACCCAACTAACACTGCAGCCCACTATCCCAAGGCACAACGAGTTTCCTCCGGCTGATGGTACGGGCCCATGTGGTCACCGTAACGGACAAAATCCTCTTGCCCTGCTTAGTGAGTCATTCAAGAGCCACCTTTCTGAACGACCACTATGTGCGTGAAATACACGTTGTCATTTAAAAATGCCATTCCTACACTGTACTCTGCAGAAAGTCACTCATTCAAGGAGCTGTCTTTATTTTCAGGGTCTCTGCACATTTTCTTGAGGTCGTTCATTAAATCACTTCCGTTATGAGTGATAAGCACTATATGTCAGAATTGCTTTCACTTCGCTACGACATTGGTTGATAATAATGGAATAATAATGGAATACTACTAATACGTAACACGAGTGCTTACGTTGTGCATGGCTCTCTGCTGATGGTTTTGCATGTGTTACTTTTTTTTTTTTTTTTTTTTTAAATATATTCTATTGATTTTTTACAGAGAGGAAGGGATAGAGAGATAGAGAGTTAGAAACATCGACGAGAGAGAAACATCGACCAGCTGCCTCCTGCACATCTCCCACTGGGGATGTGCCCGCAACCCAGGTACATGCCCTCGACCGGAATCGAACCTGGGACCTTTCAGTCCGCAGGCCGACGCTCTATCCACTGAGCCAAACCGGTTTCGGCTTGCATGTGTTACTTTATGTAATTCTTTTCTCCTATAAGATAGAAAACTGTTATTAATGAATGCAAACTGAGGCCTGCAAAAGCTCAGTGATTTACCCTTAGAGCTAGGCCATAGAGCTAGGAATTAAAGGAGTTCACATTGAAATCTATGTGTATCTACTTTCTTACAGTGCTACAAAGTCTGGTGCAAATTTTTCTGAAAAAGTGGTCTTAGATACTTTTTTCTTTCTTTAAATATATTTTTGTTGATTTCAGAGAGGAAGAGAGAGGGAGAGAGAATCATTGATTGGCTGCTTCCTGCGCACCCTCTACTGGGAATCAAGCCCGCAACCCCAGGCATGTGCCCTTGACCAGAATCAAACCCGGGACCTTTCAGTCCACAGGCCGACACTCTATCCACTGAGCCAAACCAGCTAGGGCTTAGATACTTTTTTTTATGATGGTAAAATGAAACTCTAATTCAACTTTTCTCTCACCCTTTGTATCCTTGACATTACTTGTTGATTTGGGCAGCCACTAGTTGAAAATAGACATCCCTCCCATGATGTAAAGAAGTAAATAATCATTTATTGAAATCCATCTTACCTTACTTTGAGTTAATTTTTTCTTCCACAATCATATTACAACACTTAGAATCTTTTCCCTGAAAGGATAGGTATGTTTCAGTCAAATTGGCTGCCTTGGAAAAGTTCCATTTTTTTTAGTTCTCTTTTGCCTTTCTCAAAATAGTATAAAGGCATCTGAAAGTAAGCTTGGAACCCTTCTATCCCAGTACGTAAAACACTTTTTCCAGCATTGGTGTGCTCAGATTGTCACCTCACACTTAGAATAATGCAAGTGGTGTTTGTGGGTATCTGAAATGGATAAATTAGGGAGATGACTTTACCTGAAAAATGATGTAGGTTTGATCATTCTGGTTAAATTGATTAAAATTATTCTTTCATTATTTATGCCATGCTTTATCTTTAACAAACTTATAATAAAGATAATAAGGAAGTATTTTTTTAATTAATTTATTTTTTTTTTAGAGAGAGAGAGAGAGGAAGGGAGTGGGGGAGGGGGTGGGAGAGAAACATCGATTTGTTTGTTGTTCCATCTATTTATGCATTCATTGGTTGATTCTTGTATGTACCCCAACTGAGGATTGAACCCACAATCTTGGTGTATCGAGATGACACTCTAATCAACTGAGCTACCCGGCCAGGGCTAGAAGTAATATTTTTTGAAACCTATAAATGCCTTACTATAGTTTTGCAAAATGCTGCTTGTCTTAATGCAACTTGCCCTGCACTCTAGGTATCCTCTAGCAGGCCCTATGTTTAGTAAAAATATTTAAATGGGTGAGGTTAGCTACAGACTATAAGGAATTTGTAGCATTTAGAGATTTTAAAATAATCATTACATTGTTGTATTATTGACGTTTTGTTTTTTTCTGCTACAAATGTAAAAGATGGGATATCTGTTTTATTTTGTGTATGGTTTTTTCTCCCTAGGTCTATAAGACGTACCGACACAGTTTCCTTATTTTTACTCATGTACTTATACCTGCCTGGATTATTCATTATCATTTAAAATATCATGTGGCTGTAAGTATGTTTTAAATATGTGTTTTTCAGAATTTATTTTTAATACTGTACAAAATTATTTCCTATGTGGGTATGCCTTACCCTGCTTTTACTTAGTAGAAATAATGTGCCTCTTGTAACTGATTGTGAACACCTTTGAATCCTTTTAGGTAAAAAGTTTAATTAAATATAAGGAATATATGGCTTTTCAAAAAGTTAATCTTTATATTAATTGCTTACAACTTAAAATGCATTTCCTCCTAGAAACAGTATTTAAGTGATCAGAATGTAATTGACCTAATAATACTAGTGTAAATTCAGGATCATGAGTAGGAACGGAGAAAGGAATTTCTGTTTCTCTTTTTGAGCATAGATCTGGTATAAGGTAAAATTCAAAATAGTCAAAGGTTATCTTTGTCATCATTCCATTTCCCTTTTTTTCATTCTATTTGATTTTTCACAACTTTTTTTTCTTTAGAATCCAGGATGTTCAAAAGCTTGAACTTTTTCACTGAAAGATCTTGCAGGTGGTGGTTTAAAGGCTAAGGATAGTCTGGTGTAGGGTGTTGGAGCCCAGGCAAGGTGAGGGAGGAGTGCATTTTGGGAGTGGCATGGAAGGGAGAACAGTGGTGGCTACCCAGTGTGGAGTGTTATAACCCAAACAGAGTAGGAGGGCATTCTTGTACCCATTGAGGAGTGTTAGATCCCGGTAGGTTGCTGCATGGGGGGTAGAGGGAAAGTATTGGTGAGTAGACCTGTTTGGAAAGAAGCAGTGGCAGCAACCTGGTGTAGGATATTAGAAGAAGGGTGGTTTGGGGCAATGATGGAGGTGGCAGCACAGAATAAGATGTCAGAACCTGAATGAGGTGAGGATGTTATTTATATTGGAGTGTGGTGATCATGACAGGAGATTGGTTATATACAGGAACATTGGTCAGATAAGTACAAAAATTGATAGTGGGATCAGGATTCCCATTGTTGGAAAAGGGAGCTACACATATGGGAAGGGAGAAAAACCCTGTGCTACTAGAATGGAATTGGGAGTATGGCTGTGAACTCATGGTTTTTAATAATGATTGATAAATATAGAAGTAAATGTAGATGTAAGTGTGGATATTCTCTAGCTCTGTCCACTGACAGTGCCTCGTGGCAGAGCTACCTCATGGTAATTAGCACATCCAGAAGCCTGGTCTTATTTTCTAAATAAAATTCTTCACTGAAAGGATCCAGAGCTCTTTGGAGATATGGCCAGGTCCAGGGCTGAGGCAGGGAAAATACAAGATGAGCTTGTTGTTCCAGAAGGTAAAGAATTGTTCAAAGAATGATGGAGCTATATCACAAGGACACAGAGTCAGCTTGAAAGAACTCTCATTGGGACAGTTTGAGCATCAAAATAAATGATGGTAATAGATGATAGAAAACTGAATAAATAAAATGTAAATCCATGAGCTGATACTCATAGATAAGTAAATAATAAATGGGTAAAAGAGAAAGCTTTTTTTGTATAATAGATTGCTAAATAATAAATGGACAAGGAATGATCGAAAAGTCATAATTTGAGGATCATCATAGTAATATTTTTTTCATCCAGGGAACATCAAAAGATACTAAGATTTATCTCAAAATACCGATCTTAAACGTACTTATTTGTTTCAAAGAGAAAAAGGGTAATTTTGTGGTGGAGAAACCTGACAGATACCACCTAAATTAAGAAATGTAAATTAACATTACTAATAATGGGACAAACAGAAATGTACTACTTGATAGGATACAATAAAAAGAAAACAGCATCAATTTTGCAATATTCCTGCCAAAAATGCATAACCTGAATCTAATTGTGAGGATACATAAGACGAACCCAAATTGAGGGACTTTTCAGCCTTGTTCAACTTCAAAAGTGTCAAGATCTTAAAAGCTAAAGATTAACGGAAGATTCTTTCTAGATTGAAAAAAACTAAATAGACATGTCAACTAAATGCAGTTCTTGATTAATAGGCATAATCTGTTTAGTCAAAAGAAAAAAATGGTTTTAACAGTCAAATTTTTAAACAGTCTAAACAATGAAGAACAAGTCATCTAAGGGAATTTTCTGAGAATTTCAAACAATTATGGAGACAATTGGTAAAATTTGAATGGGTTCTTTTTTTTTTAATATATATTTTATTGATTTTCTACAGAGAGGAAGGGAGAGGGATAGAGAGCTAGAAACATCGATGAGAGAGAAACATCGATCAGCCTCCTCCTGCACACCCCCCACTGGGGATGTGCCCGAAACCAAGGCACATGCCCTTGACCGGAATCGAACCTGGGACCTTTCAGTCCGCAGGCCGACGCTCTATCCACTGAGCCAAACCGGTTAGGACTGAATGGGTCCTTTAAGCAGGAGGCAGTAATATAGCAATGTTAAATTCCTGATTTTGATGACTCCATTGCGATTATTTTAAGAATATGGTCCTTAAAACAAAAGAATATTGTCCTTATTTGTAGGAAATAACCTAAAGTAAACCAGTTGGCAATTTACTATGAAATAACTGGGTAAAAAAAATTTTACTTTTATAATTCTTGCAACTATTATTTCAAGGTAAAACAAAAGTTAGGGATTGCCTAACAAATTGTAGATAATCTCATTGAAGTTAGCTTGTTAAAAGGAGAATGAAACAAATAACTGGGGTTCTCAAAATATTCCTTCTAACATGACTTGTTCTCTGTTGATTGTGTGGTCTCTTTAAAATTCTGATTGCTGACATCATCTTTGTTCTCTTAACTAAGCAGATTATATCCATTGACCAACAACTATGGAGTACCTACTATGTTCTCTACCTTTATTGCTATAGAAAATATGTAAGACAAAATTCCTGACCTCAAGGAATTTATAGTACAGTTGGAAGATAGGTGATTCTGGTAGGAGTATGTTGGAGACAAGTTATTCCAGTGACAAAGAAAGATATGGAGTCACTAATGAGCATAGCCATATCTACCCAAGACTCTTGGCTCAGACTGGGACCAATTAATGGAAAGTCTTGAAAACTAGGCAGAGGAGGTTGAACTTTATGTGGTAGGCAGTGGGAAGCTTTCCACTTTTAAGTAGGAAAGTGACTTTATAAAAGTGATATATTTAGGAAAACATAAAATGTGGGGAGAATTGGAGGGAGGAAAGTCCTGACATCAAGCAAATCAGCTGGACGTTGTCACAGTTTAGTAGGTGTTCGTTGATAAGAATATGGTTAGGGCAAAGACAGCAGGAATGGAAGAGAAAAGTGAAACCAGGAGATACTTTCAAAGGAAGAAACAGGCCAAGTTAAGTTAGGGATGAAACCAAGGTTCAGAGTCATTTATGATTCTAAAATTTCTAGCCTTGGAAAGGAGGGCTTTCTGGTCCTGGGGAGAAAGTAAAATTGTTTAGGAACATGAGCTATCACATCTGTTTCTCTCGATGTCCCAGTGGACAGGGTGTGTCTTATGTTTAGAAATCTGAGGTTAATGTAGGAATTAGAGTTGGGATTTAGTGTTTTCACTACACGCACACACACACATACACATACACACACACACACACACACACACACAAACCCCCACAGATTAAAGGGTACTAACAATTTATATATCTAAGGTTCAGAGAATATTTTAAATGTTTATTGTTGATGGGCTTAAAGTTTTTGTATTTATGTTCATCTACAAGTACACAGGCCACTTCATATGATTATAGGTCTGTATTTTTTCCTTAACATGCAAGACCCTAGAAAAGAAAATATATTATTTTCTGTCAGTTTTGTTTTTAACATCCAAGAGTGGTTTTTATGTGCAGAATGTGCAGAAAGAACTGTTCACAGTTATCTGGAATATAAATTAATATTCAGTTTGTTAGTTTCAAATTTAAAAAAACATTTTTCTAATTCTTTAAATTTGTTTTCTAAATTCTGTTAAAATACTTTTATAGCTAGGAAAATATGAACAGTCTCCTTTCTTTGCTCTCATTATTTTTGGATTAATTCAAGTTGAACTTTCCTAAAACAATTCTACCTACAAACATAATCAAATTCTCTTAAATGTTTCAAACTACATTTATACATTTTATTTTTAAATATTTATAGGGCAAATTAATGACCTTAAGAAACAAAATCATTTAAAACTTAAAATCACAAGTCTAAATAAATTATGCTCTTTAATTCTAGAATTAGTATTTTAAAACCTCTAATAGCCAGGTTACCTTACGCATTACAAATACTGTAAACAATATATGGATTGTCTGTTGTTTTTGGAACTTACTAAATTTGACATTCACCGGTTTATACTCTGGATTTGATTTACTTTGTAATACCTATATTTAACAATTTTTCTAGGATTGAAAAGACACTTATATCCTAAAAGAAGTGAATTTAACAAGGTGCAGCTATTGGATCAACAATTCAAGACATTAATATAGTTGCTTATTTGAGGGATTAGTACTTCCAGGTGATTTTTCCTGGGTCAAAGATGGACATAATTAGTTAAAGGTTATGTGTCAGTAGAGGTCCGAAGGCCTCTCTCTTACCTTATTCTTACCTTATTTTCTCTTGATTTGGGCAGGACTGCATTCTTAATAACCCTTGCAGCCACTTTGCTAACACCTTTACTGCCTATTTGAACTTTACCATCTCTCTCTGATGACATTTCAATGTCTTATTACTTCTGGTCAGAGTTCTTTTAAAAAATATTTTTTAATTGATTTCAGAGAGGAACGGAGAAACATTAATGATGAGAGAAAATCATTGATCGGCTGCCTCCTGCTTGCCTCCTAATGGGGATGTGCCCTGCAACCAGGGCATGTGCCTTGATGGAGAATGCAACCATAACCTCCTGGTTTATAGGTCAATGCTTAACCACTGAGCCACACCAGCCAGACTAGAGTTCTTAAAGACATTTTAATGTTTTCACATTGTATTATGTAAAATGTTTTTAAAAACACTTTAATGTCCTCTAATTGTATTCTAAGTTTCCTGCTTTTGGCTTCAGTTTCTCTGAATTTTATATCATGCCATACATTTTTTGGTTTGGTATTTCATGAAGATGTATATGCTTCATCAATACATTTACTCTACAAATATTTATTTAGTTCTTCCTGTGTTCACGCACTGTTCTAAACAGGGATACAGCAGTGAACAAATCAGATGAATCCCTGCCCTCATGAAATGTTTATTCTGGTCTTGGAGACTGGTAATAAATAGATAAACAAAGAGGTATAAAAGGAGGTGATAAGTCTGTAGAAGAAAAACTAAGCAGGGTAAAAGACTAGAGAATGATAGGAGCTGGGGTTTTTTTTTTTTGTTTTTTTTTTAATTAGACCTCTCTAAGGAAGTGTTATTTGAAGAGAAACATAAATGACTTGAGGGCATGGACCAAGCAAATAACTAGGAGAAGAGCATTTCAGGTAGAGGAATCATCTATATAGTAAAAGCCTAAGCGATCTTTACAGTGCAACGACCAGAATGACTGGTTGCTATGATGCACACTGATCACCAGGCGGCTGGCGCTCAATGCAGGAGCTGCTTCCTGGTGGTCAGTGTGCTCCCACAAGGGAAGCACTGCTCAGCCAGAAGCTGAGCTCATGGCTGGTGAGTGCAGTGGCGGTGGTGGGAGCCTCTCCTGCCTCCGTGGCAGCACTAAGGAGCAGCGAGCCAAGTGGTAAGGAGCAGTGAGCAGGCGAGTGGTAAGGAGTGAGGGGTCCCGGACTGCAAGAGGGCGCAGGCTGGGCTGAGGGGACACCCTCCCCCACCCTGTGCACGAATTTCGTGCACCAGGCCTCTAGTTAAGTATAATGGCTCTGAGGCTCAAGCTGGCCCAACTGATGGGACCAATAGCAAAGGAGCTACCATAGTGTAAGTACTATAGTACAGGAGAGAGAGGTAGGAGTTCAGAGAGGTAGCCAAGGGCCAGATTGTGCAGGGTCTTAGAGATCACTGCAAGGACTCTGGCTTTGTCTCAAAGAATTAAGAAACTTTGAGCAGAGGAGTGATACATGATAAAAGAATTACTTGACTCTGCCTGCAGTGTAGAGATTAGACTGTAGGATGGCACACAAGTGAAAAATGATAGAGACTTGGACAAGGATAGTAGTACTAGAGGTGGTGAGCGGCACATTCAGAAAATAATCTCAAGGTAGAACCAACAGGATCTGCTGAGAAGTCAAAGTTTTTGTCCTACTTACTTGGGAGAATGAAAGGGTCTTGTACCAAGATAGGGGCAAGTTAGGGACTGGGGAAACTTAAGTGTTGGACATGGTTAAGTTTGAGGTGCCTGCTTGACAGCCAAATACTGGTAGCGATATTGAATATACAGTTGTATGAGTCTGGAGTTTGGTGGAAATTTGGGACTAAGTTAAACATTTGGTATATGATCTATTTCTTTAGAAGAAACTCTGAAACCATAATTAACAGAGCATTACTTTCATTGCAGACAAAACCATATGGCATGGTTGAAAGGAAGCCCAGAATATTCCCAGTAAGTCTTAAAACATCTGATTTTTCTTTCTTTTTTTTTTCACTATTTTTCTTTCTCCTTTCCCTTGCTAAGTGATTGACTAAAATGTTCCTTTTTTTTCACTGTCACTTCAAGTGCCTATTTTGTATATTCTTGTACAAAAATAAAGAAAAAGAGGAGGAAATAGTGTAATAGTGTAAGGTAGTAGTTACAGTTGAAAATGGAAGGTGGCCACCTTTCTATATAGTTACCAAGTTCTCTCCTTTCTTTCTTTTTTTCTTTTTTAAAAATAATTCTTTATTGTTGAAAGTATTACATATGTCCCCTTTTTCCCCCCATTGACCCCCTCTAGCCAGTGACAAATACACTTTCATCAGGAGGAAAAATAAATTAGTCATAAGGATAAGGTTAATTACATAAACCACTTCATTTTCAAGATACAGAACTAACTCTTCTGAGGGAGGGAGGGAGGAAGGAAAGAAAGAAGGAAGGAAGGGAAAGGAGAGAGAGAGAAGAAAAGAACCAAATCAAAGAGACTACTGTTTATAAGAAAAAATTTGAGTTAAAATGGAAATCAATGAGGAAGGGGACAGAGCACAATGATATCAATCAACTTTCTTACCATACAGCCAGATCTCAGAAAGAATCTGACCGAGTCCCACCCACTTCATACATAGCCAAAGAGTGCAATGAAGGAGAAAACCACAAGACCACAACTTCAACAAAATGCCTGGCTCTGGTGCCCTGCGGTCAGTCGGCACACTGTCTTAGGTATATGGCACAGATACGCCACGCGCTGCATGAAGCACAACCCTTGGACATCACAACATTCTCACGGGGTGATTTTGTTATCCTCGTCTTACAGGGAAGAAAGTAGCCCAGAGAAAGGCACAAGGTCAAGTCAGCCCAGAGTGCTCGGGCCCAGGAAGAGTTATCAATGGAAGCAATAAAACATACTGAGAAAACTAAGTAGTGACGCTATTCTGGGATCCAAGGAATTAGACAAGAAACCAGTCAGGGCAGGTACACACACACACACACACACACCCCCCCCCCCCAGCCCACCCCCAGCTGGGGCAGCTCAGTCAATCCCGCTGGGGCAGCAGACATTGTGGTTATCTTTCTGTATTGACGAGGTATTGCCACCTGGAACAGTGGTTCAGACACAGGCTAACCCTGCCTGTCTACACTGCTATGACAGAGCCAAAGAATCCATGCAACAGTGTTAAAGCTGCTACTTGAAAATCCTAATGTGAAGCAGGCAAGGACTTCGCTACCTCACATGTTACACTCAGCTGAAAATATTTTGGATTCATCCTATCTACTCAGTGGGTCTTTATTAGGGGGATTTTTACCCTGTAGGGAACGTAAGGCAGTATCTCAAGACATTTTTGAGGTTACAGCTGGGGAGTACTTCTGGTATTGGGTGGGTAGAAACGGGGGCGGGGGGCATTGCTAAACATTCTACACCAAAAGGAATGACCGGGCCCCAAATGTCAACAGCATGCTGTTGAGAAATCCTATCTAAGCTAGAAGCCGGAGAGCAGAGGGTATGAAACTCATTCTTTAGACCTATTTCCGATACATAAAAGGCCACACTCATTCTGGATTTGACTTAACGACAGAGGTTCCTGCGGGATCAGCTGATCTTCCACCTGATTTCATTCTCTGAAATGCCAGAGGTGAACGGTTCAGGCTGAGCACTGCCTGCAGAGACCTGCGAAGGGACTCCCCTTCCCCAGGCCCCTCCTACCCGGGGCCAGTGCTTCTGGCCTTTGCAAAAGGGGAGAACAGATATTCTTCGTTGAACCCTGAGGACCCGAGAGAGCATCTAACAAGACTTCCCAGGAAGTGCCTAAAAACAGAGTTAAACATGGAGCATGTGGTATAGGGCATGAATTCTCTGCCAGAGGTTTTCAACCCACAAGGGGGTGTTCACTGTGACATCTGCTCCTGACCGATGCCCGATGAACTCGATCTTGATGCCCTGGTTCTCCAGTCGATTGTTGGGGTGCTTGAGCGCGAGGCTCACCTTCCCGGAGACCGTCTCGCCGTCGTAGAAGAGGAAATATTTCTCCTTCTTCTCGTCCTCCGTCTTGTGCTCAGCCCGCTTCCTACTCTCCGCATCGTTGAACATGATCTCCACCTCCACACTCTGCCCGAAGCCGAAGAAGCTCATCTCGCCGCTGGTCGGGCGCGCCGGGCTCCCCGGGGCTGGGCTGCCCTAAGGGAAGGCCAGCGGGCTGGACGCGCGCGGCCGGGCGTGGGGCACGGCATGACTGCCTGCTACACCCGGAGGCAGGGCAGGGCCGGCTGCGCACCCAGAGCGCAGGTGCGCCGCGGCCCGCCAGTCCCCGAGCGGGCGCGAGCGCAAGGGATGGCGAGGAGGCGAGGGCGGCCATGCCACTCTACGGGGGCCGTGCAGAGCACCGGGCTACCGGCCGCTGTCGCCCACCCGGCGCCCTGCGGCTCGGGGCGGCGGAGCGAACCTCCAGCTCCTACACTTCGCTGCCCGAGCAGCTCCGGAGATCGCGGCGAGGGGCGGGGAGGAGGAGGCGGCCTTCCTCTCTCCTTTCGCTGTCCTCATGCAGCTGCCTCTCAACGCAGTGGCAGCTATTCGGAGGCTATCTGAAACAGACTGCACTTCAATCTGATCTTTGACAAAGGGCTGCGTCCCTGTTTACTGAGCTTTATTGGGCTTCTGTTTCTCAGAATGTCTTCATTGTTAACCCTTACTATTTAAAGATTCAGAAGCAATTTGTTTTTCCAATCCTGAAAGGTCCTGGATATCTTCTTTTTATTTCTGCTTTCAAATCAGCTACTTCTTGCCAGAGCTCATGTTTCCTAAGGTACTTTTCCAAGACAACTAATAGTTGAACTCCTAACTTTTTTCCAGCTTCCTCTCCTAGAACCTCAAGCTCATTAGACAGTCTGCTTCCAAGTTATTACTGGCTTTCATTTTATTTTTACCTTCCAATGCCAGTGTCCTTGCCTCCAGACTGCTAAGCCAGCGCCATGTGGTTTAATTTTTATTACGGCAGCATTAGTACCATTTCAGAATGTTAATGTCTGTGTTAGGGTAATGTTAGTTGTGGTAATAAATTATCCCCAAAATGTATAATGGCTTAAACATAAAGTGTATTTTTTTATTAAATAACAATCCTGAGCAGTACCAGGTCAGGAAAAGGCTGGGGTGGGGATGAGGAATAATTCTACTCTACCCAGTCATTCATGGACTGTCAGGTTGATAGAATCTGCTATCTTGAACACAAAGCTGAAACTAAAGCTAAGTAATTTGCCTGAAATTATATTAACTAATTATATAGTTTGTCCATGGAGTTTCCAGGATTGAGCTGAAGGTGTTTCGGTGTAACTTTTTTCTAGGGTTTCTTCTATTTCTTGGGGCCTTGCAAGTAAACATTATTCCTGTGTCACTTTGTGAAGACCACTTTTATGCTCTTTCTGGTCATTTTGTTTTGAGTGAAACTTCCCCTATTCTTTCACTTATACCTTAAGATTTTGAATACTGGTTTCTCATCTTTAGACAGACACTGCTTTGTCTAAGTCCCTTTATAATGTGAATGCCAAAGCTGAACTAGATTTTCAGTGTGAGGTCTGAGAGGATATACCTTGCAGACAAGATCCTTCTACTAATACATGTTTGTTTTCCTAGGGTGATATAATTCTGGAGACTGGAGAAGTAATTCCACCAATGAAAGAATTTCCTGATCAACATCATTGAAGATTAATTTAAAATTTCAAAGGCATATGAGCCTAAGTTTTGTTGCTACATTACCATATTTACTGAATATATTCTCTGGAAAAGGAACTTTAATAAAGTTTACTCTCAGATATGTGTTGCCTGTTTCTTCCCAAACACTGTACAATTTAAGACTTTTTTTTAGTTATTTAGTTATTTAACAGTAAGTACAAACTGGACCTGCTTAAAAAAATGATATGAACGATCACCTTTTTCTGGCCATTCTTGAGTCAGAAAATAAGATGTAGAAAATTAGTCACACGATATTTTTTTCTTACATAATACTTAGTCTGTTGTGTAGGTATGCAACAGAATGAAATGTAATAAACAAATATAAGGTTAGAAATTCCACACACTTTTGTTTTAAAGGTGGCTTTCTGAGGCATTTTAAAAGAAGTATTTTGGGAACTCTAAATGGAAAATCATGTCATTTCATCTATGACCTGATACTCAAAGGCTGTCAGATCTAGGTTGCTTTGTTATATGAGAACTTAAAAGTACACGTATTGGAAAAGTTAGCACATTCATGGTTTATTATAAAGGACTGTATGCAATAATAAATTTGAAAACTTTATATTATGGATTTTACTTTAAATATAGACGTGTCAGGTAAGCATAAAGTGAAGTATTTGCATAGAATAAAATCTAGAGGAATTACAAATTTCATTCATTCCCGAATATTTTGTCCGGGTATTTCTTCCTTAGTTGTCGTCGAGCGGCTACTGTCGATGCATAGATGACATATCCCCAGGAAAGTAATACGATCGCGAGGAGCAACTAAAAAAAATAAATGAATGAATAAAAATTTAAATAAAAATGCAAGAGGGGGGAGTAACAGCAAAAATTTCACGGTGGGTAGTACTTCCTCGCTGCCCTCTCCCCATTGGTTGCCATGTACGTTGCTAAGGTGGAAATTACAGTAACCAACGAATAAATGGAATTCCGGAGGCGAATCCACCCACTGTCCTGACGTAAGAAGCGGAAGAGCGTGTCCTCCAGGAAGAGGCGGAGTCCGGGGAGGGAGTGGAAAGCTTAATTCAGGAATGGGTTTTTGGGTTTCTGGGCGCTGAAGGAATACGGGGGCTCCCGCCCGGGGGCGAGGGAGCCGACACCGTGGAGCCTCGCCAGACCCGGGACCTACCACGGAATAAATCCGGTCCAGGGTGCGGCGACTCACTGGCCTCATGGTAAGGAGACCACGGCGATCCGCGGGAACGGGCAGGCCTGCCGGCCTAGAGTAACCTCCGGGGCGGCGGCTGTCGGGCTGCGGCGGCCATCCTACATCCGGGCACGAGCGCCCGCCCCCTCGCCTCCGGGGGCCTTTCCCGAGCGCGGGGCGGCTCTTCCGCCCGGAGCGGGGGCGGGCTTACGGACCCCGGCCTTGCCCACCTTTCCGGCCGGGATTAGACCAAGAACAGGATTTAAATGGCATTTTTGGCCGTTTAGAGAGTTAGGCGCACCTCGTCGGCGGGTTCTTTCAGTTGCAGTGCAGTTTTAATGCAAGGTAATGTACCGTCTTGTGCATTTTAACGTGTATTTGAAAAACTAATACATATTTCAAACATGACCCCGGCGTCTAACTCTGGAAGGATTAACGTTTCCTCTTGCATCTGTTCCCACCTCATTTTGAGAGTCTTTCGTATATTTATCGTTGGCGTAGACAATACCACCCACATGTATATAAGTGACAAATCGTTGTGGGAATCCCTGTTAACTGAGCCCTTCTTCAAGAAACAACAAGTCTTTGATAACGCGGTGCCTGGTGTAATGTAAACGGTAACTTCTCAGAAGTAACGTGGCCTCCGTGCCCCGGCACACTGCCTGCCAGTCAGCAAGTGTTTGCTGCGCTTTGGAACGTGAGCGCGTGTCACATACGAGGGCGGGAGGGACGGCGGTTTGCCCCGCGCGGCTGCACCGGGTCGCCCCCACGGCGTCGGGACGCTCGCGGCTGAGGCCGGGGGAGGCCCGGCAATTTGGCCCCCTGGCGCAGCGCTCTCTCGTCCATCTCCGAGCTCATCCAACAATGGGGTCTTAACCCTGACCCGGGGGTGGGGAAAGGGGGAAGCCGTCTTGATAGGAAAACGGTCTATTTGGCGGAGATTTCAAGGCCATGTCCTCAAGCTGGCTCCTGTTTCCCGACTGGAGTAGCGCTTTCTGTCTGAAGACGGTAGCTGCTGGTTGGGCTCTGGCTTTGGGTTCCAGTCACATCTCCGGGTTATTTTCTAGAGTCTAGGTCGGACCTAGACCTAGGAGTTCAAGTGACTTCACCTCCGTGCCACTCAGTTCCTTTACACACTAGAGCAGTGGTTCTCAACCTTCCTAATGCCGCGACCCTTTAATACAGTTCCTCACGTTGTGGTGACCCCCCAACCATAAAGTTATTTTCGTTGCTACTTCATAACTGTAATTTTGCTACTGTTATGAATCGTAATGTAAATACCTGATATGCAGGCTGTATTTTCATTGTTACAAATTGAACATAATTAAAGCATAGTGATTAATCACAAAAACAATATGTAATTATATATGTTTTCCGATGGCCTTAGGCGACCCCTGTGAAAGGGTCGTTTGACCCCCAAAGGGGTCCCGACCCACAGGTTGAGAACCGCTGCTCTAGAGTCTTAATAACTGCTCGCAAAGTTTGGTGAGGTTTGGAGGAGACCAGCTAGTTATCGTGTTTCCCTGCCAAGTTAGGAGCCAACGTTAAGTTACTGCCTTTGTAACCTCCAGAGATTAGCATCGAGGTCGGTGATGGGGAGGGAGCTTTGGGATTTCTGCCCTCCGAGGAACTCGGCGGGTCGGGGGGAAGGGCCGAGCGCACCTGGCTCCGCCCTCGGTGCCGGCGCCCTCCTACTGCGCATGCGTCACGCGGGCGGGTGTTTTGTTTTGACGCGCGGGGGGCCTTGGGGTGGGCTGGGCTCTTGCCGCCGCCTCCCAGCTACCATTGGTGATGAGCGCTTTACGTCACAGGGGTCGCAACAGCCGCCGGGGTCTCCGCTGTCTCGCGAGGAGGGTGAAGCGCCCCCGCACGCTCCGACGCCGGAGGGTCCGCGGAGAAGTCGCCGGGTACGCCTTCGCGGATCCTGCCGTCACCGACCTGGCTTCCTCGGCCGTCGGGAGCTGGCCACCAGTGCCCCAGCCCGGCATTCGCCGACCTTCTCCGAGGTGAGTGAGGTCGGGAACAATGGGGCTCGGGGGTCGGAAGGGCAGGGCGAGCAGGAGCTCCCTTCCAGAAGGAGGCCCGTAGACTCCGTAGACTCGGGAGCTGAGAGGCCGTCCGGGCCTCGGCGGGCACGGCGGGCAGTCGGACACCTGCAGCGCACCTGTGGATCGGTGCTGGGGTGGGGAGGGCGACATGCCGTCCTTGGTCTCTGAGGGATGGGGGGACCAGCACTAAAAGTTCGAGTCTGAACCGTGGCGTTTCCACTCTCAGAGGTGTGACGGATGGATTCTCTAACCAGCGGTTCTCAACCTGTGGGTCGCGACCCCTTTGGGGGTCGAACGACCCTTTCACCGGGGTCGCCAAAGACCATCGGAAAACACATATAATTACATATTGTTTTTGTGATTAATCACTCTGCTTTAGTTATGTTCAATTTGTAACAATGAAATTGGGGGTCACCACAACATGAGGAACTGTATTAAAGGGTCGCGGCATTAGGAAGGTTGAGAACCACTCTACCCTCTCTAAGCCTGTCTGTAAAATGGGAATAACAGTATTTTAGTTCATTGTGATAATGTAATGCACGTGGTGATTGTGTTAGATCCTGGCCGGTGGCAGTTCTCAACCAAAGGAAGCGTGGACATAGTCCGTGACTGATGGAGTTGTCCGTGCGGTGTTAGGCACTGTGGGCTGGGCTCGCCCAGTCAGTCAGTGTGGCTTTCCTCGTGGGCTGCAGTTTCCTACACTGGAAGGGGGCGGGACTGAGATGAGGCAAATAGTGACTTAGTGAATAGAAGTGAAAAGTGAATGGAAGTTTTGGTAGGTAATTTAATTGTGGTGAAGATTGGGGGTGAGATTCGTTTGTTTTTAATCAGTGACATGCAAAACTATAGTCAACCAATGGCCCTGGCTGGTGTCGCTCAGTTGGTTCACCGAAAGTTGCCAGTTGGATTCCTAGTCAGGGCACATGCCCAGGTTTCGGCTCGAACCTGGCAGCTGATTGATGTTTCTTTCTTCCTCTCCCTTGCTCTCTCTAAAAGTCAATTTAAAAAGTCTTTTAAAAAAAAGAATCAACCAGTGAATGTATAAATAAGTGGGACAACAAATAGATGCTTCTCTTTTCCTTCCTCTCTCTAAAATCAATAAATAAAAAATTAGAAACAATGTACTTAAAAGTCTAATAACCCCTTTATTATATAGAGAGCAGGGGTGGGGAACCTCTCGTATAAGCCCCTCGAAATCATTTGGTCTGTCTCTGCCAAGGCATTAGGGGTATGTTAATTCAATGTTTGACCAAATATAGCAGGCTAATTTTTTTAGTTGTGTCTTATCCTAAAGGTTTGTTGTCTGGTTTTTTTCCTGAGTAGGAGAATAAAAAATAGACATAGGAGGAAATGCTGAGAAATGTATGCAATATTAAGGTTTCAGAATGTAAATATGTTGACAGAAAAACGATTGGTGTTCTATATTTATGATTCTATTCTCTTAAGGACAATGGTGATTTTTGCATTTCCACTGTAGAAAATAGAAAACTAGAAATAGTTGGACCCCTTGAAGAAACTTGTTCAGCACTGAGTTCCTATTGAGTTACTGCTCTGAGAAAGTTAAGATGCCCTAGGATGAGCACATTTAATTTGAAATCTATGATGAAATACTTACTTTACAATTTCAGAGTTTTGTTGTGGGGTTTGTTTGTTTTTGGTAGAACTTGGTGTAACCAATGAGTCTATTGTTTAGAAAATCACAGTTCTGTTATTTGACTAACTTGACAGTAGTTGACTAGTGGTGGGAGTTCCTGTGATAGAGGTGTAGAGAAAGATGAGTAATAATCCAGGCCACTTGTCTCAGTGATTGAGCATCGACCTATGAATTAGGTGGTTAAGGTTCAATTCCTGGCATGCAGGGGGCAGCCAATCAATGATTCTCTCTCA